CCCCCCCCCCCCCGACACGCTGCTGGTCACCACAGGCTGTGCTACCAGCAGCCCAGGATTAGCTGTGAGCTACGCCCCGAACACTAGATGCTCAGGTATTGTTTTCTTTTTTCTTTTTTTCTTTTTTCCTTTTTGTCTTTTTTCGTGACCGGCAACGGATTGCAACCCTCAGTGTCGCGCCCGGACCCAGCCACGGGATCGCAACCCTCGGTGTTGCTCCCGCCCCTCGCTCAGCCAGTGAGCGGCCGGTCTGTATGTGGGATCCGAACCCTCGGTGGGAGCGCCACCGCGCTTCCCAAGCGGCGCACTATAGCAGTGCGCCACCGGGCCGGCCCCAGGTATTGTTTTCTTATGACAGCATAAATTGATTTGGGTGGTGGTGTTCAGAGATTTAATACTTTAATTTTTTCTCTTTTGAAAACAAACGAATGCAGGAGAATTGTACTTACTTCAGACAGTACCTACACGGTGCCCTCCTCCCGCTGTCCATTTATCCTCCTCTCCAAAACACCCACAATTTTCAGAGTTTATTAATGAAGGATTTGTTGAACGTTTCATACTGGAATTGATTCAGTGAACTGAGAGTGCCACTGTTAAAACAATGTTTTTCCCAAACAGCCTACGATTTAGTCTTCAATTGGTGAACTAGGAATTGGGAGCTTCGAGCAAATTCCTTCTCTCTTTTATTGTGTTTCCTTTACTCCTTATAAGTGAAGGAGAGGCCTGTTTCACAGCTACTCTGCATCGTGGCAGAGTGTCTTCAGTGCTCAAAGCTTCACGTCGCTCTGTCTTTTCCTCTGTTTTTATTTTTTGTGTGTATCTAGTATGTTATACTGAAATATTATAATTTGTAAAGTATTTAGCAATCTGCCCTACAGGATGTGCTACTAGGAGATGTTAAGATGGTCTTGTTAGTTCTATTGGAAATAAAAAGAAATTCCCTCATCATTCTTAACAGTCTAAACTGCTTTACTATTCTCTTCTGAGAGACTATAACTGGTAATTATAACACATAGGTAGTAGTAATAATAATTTATTATAATCAAAACTAAATGTCAGGCTGTCTGCCAAAATATATTTAAACGCATATGAAAGAGTGCCCACCCCCCTTTAAAAAATTGAATTCTAAAGACATTAACTGCAAAGGTATTTTTTCAGGTTATTTTGCCTTTCACTACATGCCTATATATATGAATAAAGTACAATTGATTTAGAAACAAACTTCTGCTATATCTTCACTAGTACATGTGGAAATTCATAAAACTAAAGAAATGATTACTTACAACTTTGCTGACTGGAATTGATAGAAATCATATGGAGGTAATCATATTTCATTTGGCTGGCAGTTGTAAGAGCTGCAAGATTTACACTGTTTTTCTGCAAGTTTCAGCAAGAGCAGAAGGTTCTCGCCATCTGCTTACCTGTCAGCAGTCTGTTTAGGGAGAGTGGCTCTCCGTAGGCTCATTCTTTCTTTCCCCTCCTCTTTCAGGAATAGGAGTAGTATTGAAAATTCACTTTTGGTTTACCAAAAGCTTCTTCTAAGTTAAAGTGTTCGTATTACCAAATGAGACCTTAAGCCCAAACAAATATGTTAATTTACAGTTCTTTAAATTTTATCTCGTGGTTACCTAACCTCATCTGAAAATAAAACTGGTCATAAATTTTTGAAAAAAAAATTCTTTCTCATTGCTTTAAAATTTTTCATCTTTCATCCTTATTTTTTTCTTGTAATTAACATACTGACTTCCAGAAAAGTAATTTTTATACTTAAATTCTTTTTCTTCTCATCTACCATTAATTTTACTTGTTTATTTGTGGCTGGCCAATACAGGTATCGAACCCTGGACCTTGATGTTATCAGCACCACGCTCCAACCAACTGAGCTAACCCTACCATTCACTTTAAACATTTGACATAGTTCCCCCCCATCCCCATTACTTTCCCTA